AGCTGTATAAAAGGGTGCATGTGTTAGAAGCAAGTATTGCAGAGACACAGAGTTACTTCTAGTTTAGTAGAGCACGAGGGCTTGTTGTGATCCGATTAGTGAGAGAAGCCTCTGCCCAAATGAAGGTGCAAACAAGACCATATGCCAAAGTCAATAATATGGGTTTTAGTTAAAAATGAGGGTGAGGTAGATAGAAAGAAATAGAAAAGAGTGGAGTGGAGAGAGAGATCAGGTAGAAGGTAGTCACCACCTATGGATCCAGCGGTGTCCTGTTGGTCCTTTTTCACCCTGGGCTTCTTGGTGGGGGGGTCTCAAGGTCATCCAAAACTTTTCACTATTTATATATTTTAGCAAACAAAGGAATAAATGCGCATTTGTTACACAGTTCTCTACCAGTTAAATGATTCCCTAGCTTCTAATGCGAATTAGTCTGCATGCTCAGTCTTTCTCTTCTTTTGAATCTGGGGGTTTCCTGAGTCAGTGGGTTGTGAGTCAGTGCTTGTGATCTCTCCCTGCCAGAATTACCTTTTACCCAGTCAGAGCTGATTTCATCACAGTTACTGAGTTGGCTTTCCTTGTAGTCCATAAACTTTGCATTCTTTGTGTCCATAATCAGTAATACATTCTTCTCCCTCAGCTTTGTTAACCTCCCCTTAAGTCTGAAATAACACCTGGACAATAGTACCACCTTTATCTTGTCTCGAGTTCCTGCTGTGGTAGCTTAACTTGCAGTCCAAGTTTCATGTCCTATTTGGCAGGGACTTCAGTGGTCATTGCAGATACCACCTGTCCCATAACTTGGGGTGATATTTGTTTGACCAGTGATATGCATACAACCTGTTGCTTCTTTACACAGTTCGCCCCAGTGGGAGTTTTTGTCTGGATGGATTATTCAGGAGGTACTATGATGGGGGGAGAGCTGTAACCCCCCTTATGTAAGACTCTGAAAGGATCACTCTGCACAGGGTCATGCTGTGACACAGAATGAATGTTTATTGAACATGGATGCCAGTTTTTATAGGGAGAGCAGGGACTTTTCTGGAACAAAGGGTAGAGAGTGGGAGGAGTATTTCAACAGTGGCAAATCACAGCAAAAAGGGGTGGAACTGTATGAACCTGGGCAAATGAGAAACTGTCTCTGGGGAGAACAGGTGAAGCAGGTAGGACAAATAAGGAGAGGGCTTATGTTGAACCAATAGGAAAAAAGGGTAACAGGGGTACAATACCGGGAATAACACATTTTTATAATAAAATATATTATACTAATAATAAAACCAATGCACCATGGAGTAAAGGCACTTTGAAACAAACACTCTTGCAGTCCCGGCAGGCACAATCAGAGCACCATGACATAAGTGCATTCTGATGTTATTTCTTCTTCTTCTTCTTCTGATTTCTTTTCACTAATTTCCCTCCACCACTTGTAAGCCTCCATTGGGGCACCTCCAACACTACTCTTGCCTCTGCCAGGCCTGGAGTTAGCAACATCCTGTCACTCCATTCTGTGCTTATCTCATGAGAAAGTCCTTCTGTGGCCTTAACTGTCTGAGACAGGCAACTGTTCTCTTTAAGTCCTTACAGGGCTGTATCTTCATGTTGAGAGAAAAGATAATAGCAAACTTTGAGTCATATGCTGGCTGCCAACACAAAGCCTTTCAGGATTCAGCTGTTAAATCTCCTGTCTTTTGGCATCTCAGCACATGAAGAGCTTCCAGGAGTTTCTCAGTCCTTAATATCTTTTTCCTTAGCAACAATCTTGACAAACGAAATCCACAGCATGCTGCCTGTCCATGTGATTATCCGGCAGTATGAAGAAAGGGACTAAAACACACACTAAATTGCACCATAATTTACCAGGCAAAGTTTATTACTATAAGGTATTTTTTTCCCACAAATGTTTATGTATGTATTGCAGTATTCACAGAACCACAAAACATCAGCTGTTGGCCAACTACTACCTGTATTACACTCCGTATCACACTCCTAGATGATACCTTTAGCTACCAATATGAAGTTCATCTAGGTTAAACTCCTGTTAAGAAACAGCAAAATTGCTAGCAGCAAAACTATTATTTATCCCAGAATAGTGAGTCTGGATACACCTGGAATAATACACTGAACAGTAGCAGAACCTGTTCTTTGTCCTTGAACCTGATGCCATAAGATCTTTAGGATATTTTAGCTTTTCATAGATTTTAAAGTAGCTTTGTAGTAAACATAGATTTTTAGTATAATTGTATAGTCTCTCACACTTTAGTACAGTAGTTAATACTTACCAAACCCTATTCCCCACTTCATGTCAAATTTTCTAATTTCTTTAGGCTTGTTTACCCTCCTTCCAATGCAGGACTATAGTAAATACACCTTGTTAAAGAACATATGCACCCCAGGCCGGAACGAGAAGATACCATCATAGTCAAAGCAACCTTCAAGCCTGGAACCTTGGAGAAGCTCCAGATACAGTACATGCCATGAAGAAGAGGAAGATGAGGAAGAAAGGGATCTTGTGACCTTTGACTCAATTCCAGGAAAGTGTACCAAGGGGACAGATTTGGGGAGGATCTGGGAGCAGATAGTTCTTGGATTGGACCATAAATTGTGAAACCCCTGGACATGGGTGTGTGTCTTTGTACTCCTTGTGCCAAAAGGCCTTCATTAAAGACCTTCTCTCTGTCTTACTTATTCTAATATGGTCTGGTGAGTTTTTTTCTCCCAGTTTTAGGCAACAAACCCAACCAAAATTTTTTTACTGTGCCTCTATTTTTAAATTCAAAACAGAGGGTCTGTATCCAGATGGCCTACTGGAAATGGTCCCTGACTCATCAGAAACCAACATTGTCCCTGAGAATTGCCTAAGAGAGTGTTATTTGCCCCTGTTCCAAAACCATGTTAATCTCCTTCCGACAGTTATGCAGTAAAGAGGCTACAATAGCTGGCACTATTAAACTTACTTATTAGTTTAGATGTCAGCAGTAAAGCTGGGTTGGGTACAGGGATGCTGAACCCATTTCTCAGGCGCTCTTTGGGTTTCTCAGTAGCTTCTGTGACCTTTGACTTGCAAGACTTCAGCATCTCTAACCACAAATACTTGGCCAAGTGGGCAGCTTGAATAATTTTAACACCCACTTTTGCCTCCTGAGCTTGGATGCATTGAAGGTCTGCCTCACCAGCACATCAGTAGGACAGGGATGATCACTTTAATATGTATTGTTGGGGTAATATTCTCAATCTGGGCAGCTTCTTTAGACACTTTTGCTTCTCTTTTGACCTCTGTGTCTCTTTTAATAATTCTGGATAATATTGAAGATGAACTGCAGGCTTCCTTCACAGCTGGGAACCTCTGAGAGACTGTCAGGTGTTCAGGTATCTAAGTCTATTCAGATGAATTTCAGGCCATGTGCTTGCCTCTGCTTTGTGGGGATCAAGCTTAGTGGGGGATAACCCTAATCAACAGTACATTGTCTCCTTAGCCCTCCCTGCTACTTCCTTTCTGCTCACCAAGAATAGCACCACCTTCCCTGGACCTCAGATTTGTCTTCAGCTGAGCCTCTGCCCATGGCTGACTCTGAACTTCGAAGATTCCTCTTGCCTAGTAGCTCTAAAATGCAGATGCTGCTCCAAACCCTTAACTAGTTCCATCCCTCAACCTTTCGTAATTTGACTATTGCAGCATCCTCTCTTCTTCCGTCCTGCATTTCTCACGTTTATCTACAACACTGCTAACTCGGAGCTTTCCCAGTTAAGAACTTTGGTCCTGTCTTCCCTCTCCATTCCTCATTCTTCTTTGTCCATCCTTTTTCAGCTCTTTTTTTGTCCATCACACCTGAGAAGCATATTGTTTTTGCTAGGAGATCATCATTGGCTCTGTTTTGACTAGTAAATGAACAGGTAGAGGGGCAGAAGTAGGCTGCCTGCGCTGTTAAACTGTTCAAACAGTGCTGCAGTGTATTATCAATCTTCTAGGTAATTCCTGGGACAATTTGAGAATTAATATAGGATAAGCTATTAACTTTGGGCAGTTTGGATATAGTTTCAGGATGGATATGACTAGACTGTGCTACCTGGTCTCAAGACCAGAGAAGGCACTCAGGACACCTGTGTAGCGCTTCAGGCTTCCGGGGATCTGAAGCAGTGGTAGATTTCTGTTGCAGAAAGCTGAAGTGCATAGTACAAAGTAATTGAGATGTGTAATAAACATTGTCATTGTAGCATATTTTCTCTTGGGACTCACACTCCCGCTGTGTTACTTAGTTACTGTTGCTTAATATCCCTGTTCTAAACAAGCTCTTGGTTCCCCTGAGATCATTTCAGTCACCTTTACCAAAGTTTAATGGTCCAGACAGTGATTAAAATTTTGTTATCTAGTAATTACTCTGTAAAGAAATTGAGTCTCCAGACTTTAAAGATGTGTAGACATCTGCCTACGAGTTACTTTCTCATGAAGAAAGGAAGGATATTTTCCAAAAATTTCATCAGTGTTATATTTAAAATCATACTGCTGTTATAATCTCTGCTCAGACAGCCTCAGATTTGCCTTCCCCATGTAGAATTTAATTTGTATATTTCACACAGATGCTTCATTTGTCAAATTTGTTGTTGCACTTAAAGTATTATTGAATTAAAATGTTGCCTATAAAATATTGGCTAGATACCAAAGCCTATCAAGAATAGGTCTCCAGAGTGAAAGTTTCAAAACCATATTAATATGTAGGAAAGCACCTGAGTGGCAAATTTTGTTACAATTGATTATGGAGGTAATCCATTTCTCTCTAGGTCATCACTACATTGCATTAAAAAATGACTTTACAAACACTGGAAGTGTCAGACACTGCAGAGACCACCGAAATGCAAATACCTTCTGTTTTCCAGAGGGCCTTCAGTTTCAGAGACATGTGAGTGATTGGGTAATGTTGTCCTCTGGTGGTTAAGATGGCCATTCATTTATTGTTGAGGACAGAACACTGGGCTGGGATTCAGGAAACTCATATTTATTTCCAAAGCTGTGTCAGCCTGAGGGATGACCTTGGGCAGTCACTCTGTCTTTTGTGGCTTGTTGTCTCTTCTGGCAAATGGAAAAATGACCCTGATACCTATGGATGAAAAGCAAAGTGTAAGAGATGGCCATTTTTATTATTACTCAGAAAACTTTATGTAATCCTTTTATTCTTTCATTTTTTTAGATACATAAAGAATTTTGCGTCTTTTTCACAAAGAAAATATGATGCCATAATGAGAAGCCAATTTTCTTCTATTGCTTCTTCTGCTTTAAACAAAGCATGTGACTTTCAAAACAAGCATGTGGAAAGTCTAGGTAAGTTTATGCATGAAAACTTGTAACAATTACTCTTTTATTACTGATTTCAGCTACTTGTATTTTTCCACTCCCTTTAGTCTTCTACTGCTAGAAATAGTACTTATATCTAAAGACTACTTGCTGTACTTTTTAAAAAGAAATTGTACTTATACTTCTTATAGCACAAATTAAGTCACAGAAGTGATGTTAGAAAGTTATTGATTGCTAAAAAATATTTATGGATAGAAAGGATGAGATGAAGCTGTGAAGTCTCTTGCAGTCTGGACTCTGTATGCTCCATCTTCCTCTTCCTTCTGAGGCTGCAGAAGTGGAAGATAAACTATTAGCTCTGGAGTGTGGCTGCTGAAGTGAGCTGTGCAAGCAATGTGGCAGTTATCAGCACCTCCTCATCCCCTCACAGAATCATAGAATCGTTTAGCTCTGAAAAGACCCTTAAGATTATCATTTCCAACTGTTTGCCCGGCAATGACAAGTCCAGCACTAAACTATGTCTCCTACATGTCTTTTAAATACCTCTAGGGATGATGCTTCAACCACTTCCCTGGGCAGTGTGTTCCAATACTTGACAACTGTGTCTGTGAAGAAAATTTTCTAATGTCCAACCTAAACCTCCTCTGGTGTAACTTGAGGGTAAGGGACTCTGACAACTACTTTCATACACAGGCCGAAGTCTGCCCTACAGAAGCCCAAGTGAACAGTTCTGCTGACCCGTCTTCTTACTTCTTCAAGAATCTCCTACCATTTCATGGTCATTGTGCCCAACTGTCACATAACCTACCAATCCTTCTCTCTTCACAAGCAACAGGTCCAGTGGGGCACTTTCTCTACTTGTTTTACTCATCCACTGGGTTAGGAAGATTTCTTTCACACACTACAGGAACCTCCTATACTGTTTCATCTCTGCTGTATGGTATTTCCAGCACATATCTGGTAGTTTCCCCATGAGAATAAGGACTGGCAATTACGAGACTCCTCCCAGCTGCTATTTCCTCTGCCTCTTCACCTGTTTGGGTGGTCTGCAACAGACTCTCTCACCATGGCATCTGACTTGCTGGCCTTCATCCTCAGTCTTATCCATAAACATTCAACTCTATCATCCTCATCATAAAACTCTAGACAACTGAAACACTTCCTAATATACGTGGCTACCCCACCACCTCTCCTTCTTTGCCTATCCCTTCTAAAGAGTTTATAGTCATTCGTTGCAAAACCCTTTAGGTCTGGATCCTCCAGAGGATCTGTCCCAAAAACCAAATAGCATCTCTGTAAGCAGAATTGATCTGCATCTCTCTTGTGATGACTGACAGATGGGAACTGAAAGATGTTGGAGACAACAAGTCTGTAAGAAGGAAGTAAGAAGATGGAAGACAGGAAGTACAAAAATGGACTTCCTGAACTTTCTGCAAATCATTATGACTCGGCAAAAGCTGTGTCAGCATGAGTTTACTATTGCAGCCAATCCTGATGTATTTATACATGAAGACACCAATAGTAAACTGACATGTGTATGTTTACATGGAAGGCACCGATAGTAAGTTGACATGTGTGTTGTGTGAAAAGTATAAATGTCTACAACCTGTTACAATAAAGATCTCTTCCAACCTTCTTGCTATCCTGTCCCTGCTTTGGAAGAAGATTCTATGTCGCTTTGGCCATCTCAACATAACAGCGACAGGAAGAGAGGAGACAGAATATGCTTTTCATGTCCTGTCTCTAACCTATTAAGTATTTGGAGCTCAGAAGGGGAATGTCTGTCATCTAAAGGAAGAAGTTGAAAGTTGTTTTTTATTTATAAATTCTTTTTTCCCCCCCCCCACTTAGGATCTTTCTATTTTTTTGTCATCTCCTCACCCTAGATTTTTTTCTTTCTTAACTGGTAGAAATCCTTAAGGCTTAGGCACTGGAACGATTGATGAAATTTTTCAGAGACATGAGAAGTGCAGGCACTTCTGTGTTTCCTACATTTTGCTGTTTTCCAAATTAATGTAAGTTCTGCACTGCTCTGACAGATACAGCTGAGTTTGCCATGGGAAAATGCACAGCCACATTTGGGGTTTGTGTGACAAGTGTCACAGGTGGGAGTGGGAGGCTTAGGCAAAATTTATTAAAAAAAAACAAACGAAACCCTGTAGAAAGGACTCCCTTGCTTTCTAAACTCCTTCTCAGAGAGAAGTCTAGGTGCAGCTGAACCCAATCTTAGCCTTGGATTATGTCAATGGTTTAAATTTAAGGAATTATAGAAGTGTGATGGAATGACTTTTGTCCTGCAGCTTTTAATGATTGGCAAAATGAGAGTATTTATATAAAATGATCCATTTATTATTAAAAATGATCAGACAAAGATCTTAATCAGAATTGCTTACTACACAGCACAAGTGTTAAAACTACTAGTAGTATAGTATAAGATAGGACAGTACACTATATTGAAGCAATTATATTAAAGCTAGCAAAAAGAAATAATTATTAATTAAAGATTGATGTAACTCACTCATACCAATGCTCATGGGGAGATATCTTTCTCTCAGCCTTGAGGAGTATCCTTGGAGGGCATTGCCACCCAAGGGAGGAATCTCCACACATACACACCAAGAAGGGTTATGTCAGAAGAACCTGACTGCATGAGAGTTCTTTGAAAGAGAACTTTTATAGTATAAAGTGATTGACTGCTAGTCATACATTTGCAGGCCAGCTGCCAGCTTATCTGATTCGAAGTCTGGTGAACCAATATGGTTTTAGCATAATCAATACCAAGACAGCACCCTGGCGCCAGCAGTTGGACTTGCATGACAGCTTGCATAATGCCTTGCATTGTATGCATTCTCTGACTGGATTTTAGGTCTTACCAAGGTGGGCTATAATGCCACACCAAGATGCAAGTTGCTGCAGAGCAGATTTTGGTGTATGGTGGTGCCTGGGAGCCCTGTTACCGGCCCAGGTGCTGCTGTGATAGGGGTTGCACAGACACAGCTCTTGTCACCTGGCCCTTCTCTGATTGCTGTACAAAATCTTTTCTTTCCTTTCCTATGGCAGGCTGAGTGTGTAAGTGGGCAAAGCTTGTTTGGTATCAGGTCTACAGATAGACCAGCAGAGCCTCGAGGCTTCATGGCTGTATTTCCTGTGTATATGATATCTAGATTTGAGTCAGGACTGCTTCCAAGAGAGAAAGACAAGAGTTAAAACATGTATCCTTTTTCCTGTTTCCTCCTCATTGTGTCTAAGCAGCTGTGTATTTGGCGTGCATGCCTTTTTGTTTACATCTCAAACTGTGCACTCCTTCTTTCTGTAGATAGTGTGGAAAAGGCCTCCGGCTCTCAGGATAGCTCAGAGTTACACAGACAGAACTGGAAGTGTCCAATTAAATACTCTAAGGATCTTTATTTATTTCTTTGGACTAATTTCAACAGAGGAGTCAAGTTGGTACCTAATTTAGAGTATTAGCTATTTCACTGAATTCAATGGATAGATTGCAAATGCTCATGAATGTGTCCCTACACATCCTTGCCAGGTGAAAAGGCAATGTCTATGTACTTCCAAGCAGGAAGTCACAAGACCTAAACCCTTGGGGCACTCACATAGGTATTTACATCTTCCAGTAGTTTCTTTAGACTCAGGGAATGTTTTGTGCTTAAAGTTATACATGTGCTTAAATGATCTGCCATCTGTTTAAATTCCATAAGAGTAGCAAGTTGTAATTAATTACTCAGAACAAATATATTTCAAAGAACCTCTGAATTGTATTGAACTACTTAACAATTTGTGAAATTTTGGGCATTATGGTGTTTGAAAGAACAAATAACATGGTAGATAAGGAGACAGGTCTCTTCCCATGGAAGAGATCTGAGAAAAGAAGCCTTGGAAACCATTAATCCAAGACTGGCTGCCTGGATCTTGCCTGCTTGTGAAGACATCAGATACAAGTTGTTGCAGCAATGACAGAAGACAGAGCATTCACCCCAGGTGCTGGCTTCAGTACACTGGCAATTTCCCATTATAGATTGATCCAGATTTTTCTCGAGATTTGCCCATAAGTATTCATGTGAGAGAGCACAATTTCAGTTAGAATAAACACCATAGCAAATCTTGTAACACTGTAACAAAATACTGCAAGTGACTAGTTAAGAAACAAAACAAAACAAAACAAAACTGGTATGGAATGACATATTTGAAGCTTCTATATTTAACTACATTTTTGTGACATCTAGCTATCTGTTCTCTTCGCGTCTTCAATCTGTCTGTCAAAAGACACTGGAGACCCTATTGACTGATCCTCATAACACAGCTGTACACAAAAACAAGACAACCAAGTAGTAGTCTTGAACTCACACTGCTGAAGTCCAAATGGGATGTCAATTGCATCATATGAGGGAACATATTAGAGCAGATGAAGCATTTCTGAGTGATTCAGAAGCCAGTTTGACATGAAATAAATTCAGTCTGAGCCTAAAGAAAAGGTTTGGTTCAGCTATTGGAAAGTGAAGGTTATTATTATTATCATTTCATCTAGGACCTTTTAAGAACTCAATATATTGTGAGTCACTTTCCCTATGTTGTATTATTTTCCATTTTCATAGGACCTCCCTTCCTGATTTTAGCAAAGCAAGTTCCTAAGTACTGTGAGAAAGACTGTTCTCCTAATAACACTGATGACGTTTGCAGAGCTGGGAAGCCTCATGAGAAAACTTGTTATGCAGATCGAGAAGGGTCAGATAAGCTTCTTCTACTTCAATGGGATCAAAAGTGGAGTCACATTTTAAGAAAGCATTCAAGCATTAACAG